AGCTAATGGTAGACCGTTCTTACTGGAAAGCCCTGTGGCTCAAGGTGGCTCTGAATCTTACCCACTTTTTTTCATCTAGAAAAGAAAAGTAGGAAGACCCTTGTTATTTTTATAGCTAGAACTAGGTGAAAAAAGTGGTAAAGAGCAAGTTTGTAAAAAAATGTGATATTTGATTATCCCTAACTTAGTCACAAATTCAACTTGAAGTCACAGAATTTTTCATCTGGAAAAAGAAACTTGGGGTTAGGTTCACAGAGCTGCTGAAGGAAGTAGCTTTGGAACTTATTTGTCTCCCTTAGGTCAGGAGTTAGAGCACTTATTCACAATGTGAGACCCAGGTTTAGTTTCTCTTCTTCCCAAGAGAATTTGAACTCGCATCTCTGTGTGCATTAAGCAGGAGGGTGTATATAGTATTCTGATGTAGATTTCCTGAGTTTCTTTTGTTGGAGCTGTTTCATTGTGCATATAATATAAATATTCATTGAGGCAAAGAGCAAGCATGGATACTTAGCTTCCAGTTCCTGCTCCAGTGAATGTTTAATTTATACAAAGTGCAACTGCATCAGCAAGAGAGATTGAGAGCACCTCTCTCCACCATACTGTAAAGCACAACAGATGGGCCACTCTCCTTGTAGACTAGGTTCAGATCCCTTCACATGGAGAAGGGAAACGAAGTGGGTTTTCCCACATCCTGCATGCTAACCCCCGGGCTGGATAAAGGGAAAGCACCAGTTCTGTGAACCTCACCCATTATTTTTTCTGATTTTCATATGAGTGACCAAAATGAAATGTTGCATGCCCAATAAATGTTTTTCTTTTTTCAGTGAAGGAGGAAAAATGTTAAATTTGGTTGGATCAAGGCCACACATATTGTTTCACTTATTTTAATTCTGCTGCTGAACCAAAAAAATAAATTATTCTGACAGCCCTAACTGCAAAACTGACTATGGAAGAACATCCAGGAGAGGGGCTTCATTCTGGTGATGCTGTTTGTATAAATGGGTCTCTGTTTATTCATCCAGGGATTTCCCCTTCACTTCAGCACCGCAGTGTGTTTGTCAGTCTGTTTGCTGACTATAAACCCTACTTCAGATTCAGTTGTTGCATTCTAGAATAGGGTTATCCATCCTACAGCTGTGATCTGCCTTCTTTCATCCTACATGTTCATAACACTGCCTTTGGCTGTAATAAAATGCATTTAGTTTTAGTATACCTAGATTACCAAGTGATCAAGATCATTCCGTGTGCCTGCATTGTCCTTCCAGTTACTTACCACTCTGCCAATCTGTGTTCTCCATGGATTTTATCAGCAGATATTTTTAAATATTTACTTTCAGGTTGCTATTCAAACATTTTCATTAACAAAAGACTTAAGCCCAATGTCTGTGAAACCTCTCTAAAAACACTACCCATTGGCAAGTACTTTCTGAGATTGTCCTTTAGCCAGTTTTTAATTCATGCAGCATATGCTCTTGATATAGTTTTTTTTAAAAGGCATAATTTTAGGAACATGGAAGGCAAAAATACTGTGAAGATCATTGACAGAACTTGTTTTTTTTTTTTACATTTGGGTCACTGCATGAGTGACTTATTCCATTTGTGTTAAAACAAAACATAAGCAGTTATTTAACATGACCACCTTCTTGTGCAAAACAACAGAACAATAATCTGGTGGTTACCAAGGAAATGAGAACCCACCATTCATTCACATTTTGATTCAGGAAAGCCAAGTAAATGGAATTTAATTTCATTCTATGCTACCTTAGGCATCTCTGGCATTTAGTAAAACAAATGATGCTCATATTTTCTTCTGCTCCCCTTTTGATTTCTGTGAAGGATTGAGATGTTTCCCATTCTGTAAATAAATGTAGCTGCTCTGTTGGTGAAGGACAGTGCTCTGGAAGAATGACATCCTTTGTATTGCAGCTCTGGTGCCACTATGACCTCCAAGTAAAACAGATCTGTATTTTTCTGCTTAAAACATTCTTATATATATATATTTAGGTAAAAGTTTAACTCCAGTGAAGAGTTCATTTTGTGTTTTGGCTTGACCAGTTCCTTCAAGCATTTTTTGGCTCTATTCTGGTATTTTGCCAGAATAATACAGTCATGAATCCCTAGCTAATTTTGTGTCCTTAACAGGTGCATGAACGGGTCCTGAAAGGATGCTTGAAAAGTGTGCTTGCAGCTAATTTGAAGGAGTTTTTCTTTTCAATGTACAGTCATATATTTTTTGATGAATAGTTTATGATATGTAAAGCTGACAGACGACCAGTGAATGAATGTGCTGGATATTTGTGCTAAAGGGAACCAACACTTCTTTACCAGTAATGTGTCGCTAATGGTGGAGGTATGGGGAATACTGTAAACAAAAAATCCACTGGAGAGGTCTGACTGGTCTACAACCAGGCAATGCTACACCCCAGACGGTGTTGACTTTGTAATGAAAAAAGAGAATCCCTAACAAGCTGCTCAGCAGCCTAATCAATCACCTGATACATCAACCAGTCTGGGCATAGATTATAATCTTGACATTGTAAGAGGAAAAGCAGCTAGAAGAATAGGAGGGGGTGTATTTTTTTAAGTAGATATTTCAACCCACCTACCTTATAAAAGTAAATAAGGTATTTCAGAAGGAAGCATTCCTTCTTTCTGTAATATAAAAAAAAATGTTCCCTTTGTTAGATGGATGCTGTATCAGGAGTCACTTTTGGCAAAAATGTAATCTACAAGTATCTCTGTTGTACACAAGTTATTAGGACTCTGTTTATTCCAGTACCTTACCTGCTCACACGTATGCAGTAGGCAGGCAGAGGGGGTAGTCGGGATAATGAATGGACACTTGAACCCAGAAAGAAGAACGCAGCTGTTGGATCTAATTTTAAACCTAACAGTCCTGCTCAGGTCCTAATTGCTGTGCTACTGAACAGTCATTACTGGGAGTTGGGAAAAATAAGCTTCAGGGTGCTGGTAGAGAACTTTTATTAAGAAACAGGTCATATTTGCTCCACTTATGTTTCGTCCATTTTTCGCAGTGAGTATTGTGAATTTCTGAAGGAAAAGTGTCTGGAATAAATCCTAGTTAATATATGCCAGAGTGCTACTTATGCCCGGTCAGCTGTTCAGAGCTTTGATAACCAGACTTGTGTCTTGTTTGTACAATAAACGTTATTTAAAGCACCTCTGTTACATAAATAAGGCTACCATATAAAAACAAATGTATGTTTCTAACATCCTCTTGAATAATATGCTCGTAGTATTAGTTGCAAAGTTAACTTGGATTTTTACATCAGATGACAGGAATGTATTTGGCATAAACATCACCTTAGGGTGCCACCTAGTGGGCATGTATGATTAAGCTTTTCTTTAAAAAGTTTTTATGGGAATAAAGCTGGGGCAGGCAATTATTTTGGGCAGGGGGCTGCTTACTGAGTTTTGGCAAGCCATTGAGGGCCGCATGACAGGCAGCCCAGGGAAGATTAATATTAATTTTCTAAATTTTTTAGGGGCCCCGTGGGCCGGATAGAATGGCTTGGTGGGCCGCATCCAGCCCCCCAGGCTGCATTTTGCCCACCCCTGGAATAAACCTAAACAAAAAATGCAAACCTAAATTATTTTATTCTTTTAAATCAGTAGTATGTATGGAACAGAGTAATTTAGTGAATGCTAGATGTTTCCAAACTTGCTTCTTTCAGATATCTCAGATGGAAGGGTTGGGGAGAAGGGCGGAGTGTTGATAAGCCAAAATAAATATAAAATTCAGGTGCAACAATCTTATACTGCTAAAATTTATTGTGAAGGTAACTTTCAATTATTAACTATGATTATAGCCCTGGATATTAAGGGCTTGTTTCAAGATGCTCTGTCAAACTTGTGGGGTCACAGAAAGGGGGCCCAAAAATGAAAAACAAAAATTACAGCTGCAAAACAAAAAGTTTTAATATTGTGCATTTCCAGGACTGGCAATGTTATCAGTTGAGAATGAACTTTTTAAAGGCCTCAGTACCACAGATGTGATAAAGACTTTTGCAACAAGGCCAATTATTATTTTTATTGTCATTATCTCTGGCGAAGGGGGGCCTGATACTAAAAGTTTGCCTGGAGCCGCCAGGAGTCTAGGTACAGCACTGATGGTAGTGTGCAGTATGGAGAACCCGTGGCCCACATGGTGTGTGATTTCCACTGGTGCAACTCATGGGTCATGCAGCCCCATACCAATTAGAAGGTAGACAGCCTTGTTATAGAACTGTCCTGTGCCTAACTGCCCCACTGGGTTTGGAAATCTCAATTTTGCTTTCTTGTATCTGTTCAAAGAAAGTTGATTTCAAAGAATTTGCCAGCAGAGCATGTTTCTATTGTGGCATTGCATACAAATCCAGATTTTAAAATAACATTAAAAGACAGCATCTCTGATTTTAATTTTATGATCATACCAAAAGCTATTACTTTCTGGTTACATTTATAGACCTTGAATAAACTAGAAAAGCTGCTATAGTATAAGGGATTATAAAGCAATCTGCTGAAACTGGCATAAATTCTAATACTGAGGAACTTAACACAGTACAAATTACCGACTTATGATATAATTTAAATACAAGATGCTATACTGTGATCAGGCTAGGTTTTCATACTATTGTATGCCATCGTTATTAAGTGTTCTCAAAGGAGAAAGAGTAAAACAGGAAAAAAGCAGATTTTGTTCTCAAAGCAATTAAAATAAAAGTTCATGTTGGAATTACCAGATAAAGCAAAGAAGTCTGGCAGCTTTGGTGGCTCACATACCAAATGTCAAACTTAATGCATTTTTCCAGATGAAATTAAATGCAGTTAATAGACACCTCTTAATTTACAGGTGTGCCATGTGAATTGCAAGAATGTATAATTCAAGACACAATAACAGAAGAGTTCCAAGATGACAGCTGCCTTACCTATTACAACTTCTTCCTTTTTCCCAGCATTTGTTTAACTGTCTTAGTGCTTAACATTGTTGTTTTCAACAGGCAAGTACAGAACCACCAAAACCGAGAAAAGAAGATCAAAAAGCTCGAAGTGCATTGCTTGCTGATATTCAGCACGGGACTCGCTTAAGGAAAGTAGCACGAATCAATGACAGAAGTGCACCACAAATTGAAAGTAAGTGTGCATGGCAAAGGCATTTTGTGCATGGCACACAAAGGTATTTTGCTTGGTATGTGTACCTCGGGGTGGACAGTGGGGGTGGGCCACAAGAGGCCTGATCCTTGTTGTGGCATTGCAGCCCCAGCTGTTTCCCTGCCATCCACCTTGAGGCATGCATGCACTTGACACCAGTGATGAGCTGGACTAGGGCTCCATGGGCCCCGTACAGGTGCCTGCAGCCTCCCCACCCCTTGCTGGGAGCAGCCCAATCTCTTTGGTGGGTGGCAGGGGCCTGTCCAGAGCCTCAAGGTAGATGGTAGGGAAGGGGGAGGGCTGCACTGCCACAACAAGGATCAGGGCTCTTACAGCTCCTCCTCTGTCCACCCCTGGCATACCAACATCTTACAAGTCGAGGTTTCAGGTGTTTTTGGCACTCTGCCCAAAAACATTGCCAACCCCTGGTCTAACATCAATTTTGCTTAACAGGATGTGCAGCTATCAAGAGAAACTTAATTTGCCAAACTTATAACTCCCTCAAAGTCATGAGCTCAAGATTTGTTAATTAAGTGCACTTCTGATGTTATAATAGACATTTCACAGCCACACATTTAGTCAACCCTTCTCATAAACATATTTAAAGAAAGAATGTCTAGCCAAACCATTTGCTTGTCTATCGAGTCCTAGAAGCAGAAATACAACTTCTGTGAAACAAAAATATTCTGCTGAGCAACTTAGGCTTTCATTTAGTTAGAAGCGCTTAATTTTTGTCAAGTCCTCCTTACAGAAGCAAAAATTTGGTACTTAAATGATAAAAATAATTTTAAAAAATAATTATAAAAGTTTCTGAAACACCAGTGGATCATCTTGTTCTCGCACAAGACCACTTCTAGGCTCCTAATTATGGCCACTGGCAGGTTGTCAAATGTTTTTCCAGCATTCCTAACACTGAAGGAAAAAATAGCTTTCTATAAGGCTGCATGACTGTGTGCTGGAATACCATATTGAACAGCAGGAAGGATTTTTGGATGAGCTGGTGCTAATGAAACCCATGATTTTTTGAAAGGTTATGAGTGACTTATCACCATCCTCTGTTTTTCAGAACTGGATGAAAGATTCAAATCCAAAATCTTAGTAAATTTTAGTTGAACAGAGTGGTTGAACATGAGACTAAACTGTTTTTAGCCACCAGAGGGTGCCGTGCTCTAAGGTGTTTGTAAGATAGAAAGGTTATTTTCCTTGCTTTCCTTGGTGCTTATGTTAGACCCACAAAATGGAGTTTGCTGGTACAGTTTGCTAGGACAATCTGAATGTAGATGACAAATCTCACTTATAACATTCCTCTGTATAATAGAATCCAAAGGGCCAAACAGAGATGGAGGTAGCTCAGCAAATACCAGAAGTGCCCAGCCATCATTGGGTGGTCTCTTTGCTGGTGGCTTTCCTGTTCTGAGACCAGCAGGCCAAAGAGACATGACAGGTAAGGTGTACTGTTTTTATAAAAGGACAGATGAGTGAAATAGGACTTGTGCTTTCAAATAAAAAATATTCCACAGTGTTTTTGAGATTTGCTTTTAAATCTCTCATTTACTTTGGCATCCAAGTAATACGGTCCTTCATGTCTATACCTTTCCATTTAGATTCTAAATAATAAATTAGTTATATATAGGGATAAGGAAAATATCCTACTATAGAAATACCGCATGTTTTTAATGCAGTTCCTCAAATCAGATTTTAAGCTTTTAAGACTAACTCTCCCTGTCACCTATATTCATTTTCTTTCCTCTAATGTGATTTATTTCTGCTGCACTAGAGCTGTCTGATGCTGTAGAGGCTCCTAAGAAAAAAAACTTCACCTAATGGATCTAAGAAGACTTCAATCTAGCAAAGTACTTGCAGCCAAATTTTCAAAAGTATTTAGGCACCTAAAGAACAAATAAGCAGCTAGTGAAATTTTCACAAGCACTTAGCTCCGGCTGTTTTGAAAATCTTACAAGATTCCTTCAAAAACTGCACCCTTTTTCTCAATAGAACTGAGGCTTCTGTGTCACTTTTTAACCTTGGGCCCATGCTTGACTTTGTGTGTTTAGTAGTCACATCGATTTGCATGGGACTATATGAATTCTTAAAGTGAGGCATATGCACAAGCGTTTGCTGGATTGGGGCCCATGAAATAAAACATCCATACTTCTTGCTGATATGAGTAGTCCCATTGACCTCAGAAGAACCACTCAAAAATAAAACTATATTTTTAAGCATATATTTTCAGGAGAGGGCCCAGATGACATGGCAGCTGCTTGCAGAAGTTAAAAAACAAAACAACCCCCTCCCCCCTGCATCCCC